TTGGCAGGGTTTATATTTTTAAATCAGAGTCCCTGATTTCCCGCTTCAGCCGTTTCCAGCATCAGCCGCGACAATTAATTATTGCGGTTTGCAAAGTTTGGTAAAAAATTGCATATCGTCCAAAAGAATCACTAAAAATCACTCGATTGTTAGATGATTTCCGACTTCTTAAAAGTACTCCGGTATCTGGATGTGAAATTTCATATTGAAGTAATTTTAAGAAATCGGAAATCGTCTGACAACCGAATAATTTTTTTTGGTGATCTGCAAGTTCGATTGGTTATAACTTTATCAATTATTCAATTAATCTATTAATCGATTGGTTGCAACTCGTCGATTAATCAATTAGTTGCACTATTTTTCAACTGAAAAAACAATTAGCCAACTAATCGGTTGAAAAATTTTTTACGATTTTTAACACTACATTGGTTAACTGGGCCTATGCCGTGGTAATCATTGTCACGCCATAACACATAAAGATAACGAGAAAATAGGATTCATTATCATTGAGGTTGGTCAAATAGTTGGTCGACCAACTGTCTGGTCAGGTCTATTAATATACAATATATGTACTGTATATACAATTTGACCAATTTTACCAGTACTAAACATCTGGACCAGACCAGTCAATTGGTCTGGTCAAGATTTGATCGTTGACCGGTTCATACCAACCTAGATATATTAGGCCAAGCAAAGCTAGTTTTTTGGTTCTCGTAACTCGGCCGGGTCAAATTTGCTAAAGAAAAAAATTTTTAAGTATATTTATTATCCGAATTGTTTTTTAAAAAATTGTGATATGTAATTTTTTGAAAATAAAATCAAAAGCCGAGTGCCGGGTCACTTTTTTAAAACATTTGGTATTATGAGAACCAAAAAATTAACTTTATATGGCCTAATCGCATTTGCACGATAAAATTATTTAAGTATAAATCTGATTATATTTTATTCTAATCGTTGGCACAATCAAAAATTACTGGTTAAGACAAGTCACATAATGTAGCACCGTCTACAAAATCACCTACACTTTTATCAAACAAGAAAGATAAAGCTCGGCGGCCGCCGCCACCTCCACCTCCAAATAAGACCGAGAATGTTCGGCAGCCACCACCACCACCGTCATCACCACCCGTTATTAGAAGTAATACGTCGTTGTCACCACCTAAAGGTAATAATTATATTTAAAGCGTTTTGCTGCCACAAATTCATCAGGAAATATTCGTCATCACTTTTAGATATTGTAGGCGCTGTTCAACAAGTCTCTTTTATTCCAAAAGTTAAAGACACTACATTTACCGCCCCTTTTGATATGGCAGGTACTATTAAGCTAGCTTATTGTATACTAAATGTGGCAGCTTATACTGAGATTGGCTTATGCTAAGAATTTGACCTATTTTATTATGAAATTATAAATTTTTGGGGGCTTTTTTTGTAGTCTTTTTTTTTCGCAGCTAGGTTAGGGTTTAGGGTTAGTATTATTAATAAAAGAGTATATGTGGAGTTTAGCAGATATTATAGATTTAAATTGGGACCCCGAATCTCAGCATAAGCGCCACACTAAAAATAATGGTTATGTTTTATTGCAAATGTTTGAACATTGTTATCTATAGTAAATAGGCTGAATGAAAGTGCACCATCACTATCCACTTCTTCCAAGGAAGTTAAAGCTGATAATTTATCAGTGTCTCTACCGGACAGTACTTCACTACAATCGCCGCCATCCTCTCAACCTTCAAATGGTAAAATGCCGTCACCACCACCCTTAAATTCGGACGGTAAAATACCGCCACCACCACCACTTCCAAATGCAGGTGGTAAAATACCACAACCACCACCTCCTCCAAATGCTGGTGGTAAAGTACCTCCTACAAACGTAGATGGTAAAATACCACCACCGCCACCACTTCCAAATATTGGTGGTAAAATACCACCAGCGCCACCACCTCCAAATGTTGGTGGAAAGATACCACCAGCGCCACCACCTCCAAATGTTGGTGGAAAGATACCACCGCCACCACCACTTCCAAATGTTGGTGGTAAAATACCACCACCGCCACCACCACCTTCAAGTTTAGGTGGTAAAATACCACCGCCACCACCGTTGCCTTCAAATGCAGATAGTAAAATCCCATTACCGCCTCCACCGCCAAACTCGAGTGGCAAAATTCCATTACCACCGCCTCCTCCTACAAGTGCAGTTGGAAACATTCCATCACCTCCTTCGCTAGCTCAATCCCCCATAATTCATAGTCCGGTTCCTGTACGATTACCACCCATATCAACTAATATTCAATTAAAGCCGCTGCTTTGGGATAAAATCCCGCCAAATAAAAGTTCTCAAACTGTTTGGGTAGAAATTCCAGATGGGGATGTTCCATTAGACACTGAAGAACTTGAATTTTTATTTTCCAAGAACCCAATTAGTATTAAATCTCCAGTATCTCCACCACCAAAAAAGTCCGTATTTACAACATTGATTGATATTAATCGTGCAAATAATATAGCAATAATGTTGGCGCGTATTAAACTTTCATACTCTGAAATTAAAAATTCTATATTAGAATTAAATGAAACATTGACAGTTGAAAATTTGAAAAACTTAAAAAGTTTCGCACCAACAACGGATGAAATAGATTTAGTAAGAGAATATACTGGGGATGTAGGAATGTTAGGTAATGCCGAGAAATATTTTAGAGAGGTAATGGAAATACCAAGACTATCAGAAAGGTTAGAATGCATGATATATAGGCGAAAATTTGAAATGGAGGTTTTTGAATTGAAATCAGTGGGTATTTTATGAGGGTCAAATAAAAGACATTTATAAGAAATGACATAAATTGTTTAATAAAGTGACTTAATGAAATATTTTTATTACAGCAAGTTGAAGATTTACATGAGGCTTACGTAGAATTAAAATCATCAATGAAGTTTAAACATTTGCTAAAAGTACGTATTAATTGTTTTTACTTATATTAAACTTTATACGTTTATAGTATATATATATATATTTTGTACTGGTGCAATTGGATAGACCATATTGGCAATTGGAAATTTTCTTAATGGTTCTACGTTCCGAGGAAATGCGATCGGATTTAAGCTGGATTGCCTTTTAAAGGTAAATTTATTTCACTCATGTCACTGTTATTTATATTTTATAATTAATATTTCAAATATTAACTATCTAATAGATAAGTGAAACAAAAGCTTTAGAAAATAATCCAAAAGGATTTTCAACATTGCTCCATTATTTAGCCGCGACACTTGAAGAAAAACAGAACGATTTGATATCATTTATGGACGAGTTAAAACATTTAGAAGGGGCATCGAAGATTTCATATGTTGCAGTTATGGGATCCGTTGCATCTTTGAGTAGTGGGGCTGACCAGATCAAAGAAGAAATTAGAGTCTTGAATAAGATAAGATTGACATCGAATAATGATCGTTTTTGTGAAATTATGGAGGTTCGTTTGTATGATTATATTTTGTCATAAACACAAATACTTAACCTGGATTTGTATCTTATGTATCTTGTGTAGGAATTCATTAAACAAATTGAACCGACTGTCGAGGGCATAAAAGAATTTACGCAACAATTAGAAGAAAAATTAAAACAATTGCTCATATACTATGGCGAAGATCCTTCTATTGTCAAACCTGAAGAATTTTTTGGCATGATTGTTGAATTTGGAAAATCTTTGGCTGCAAGTATTTCAAACATTACCTTATTTATATTGGCAATGTTAGAATACTTATATAATCGCTGTCTTATATGGTGATCAGAGAGTAAGACGGGAAAATGAAGAAGAAAGGAAGAGAATAGAAAAAGAGCAAACTAATTCCCAGTCACGATTGGTAATGTCAAATTATCTAAATTGCAATTGAAGAATTCTTTTACCCACTCACAATTTCTACGATTATATAATAGGTGGTGAGACGACAATCCGATACATCAATTATGGGTTCATTACTGGACGGGAAAGACTTTGATAGTGCAATCCGAGATTTAAGATCTGGATTAAGAAAAAATCGGGACAGACCCGTTTCAAAAGTTTTTTCTGAGTTACAATTAGAAGTAATTTATTCACATAGTCGTAATACTAGTAGTGCATATCCTTCAACGTAATAATATTTTCAGTGTAAATGTTGTAATTATTGGACTTTTTCACAATATGGATTTTGAGCCACTATATAAGGAAATTAGAAATTAGTAATCTTTTATTTAATTTCACAATTTATACGTTTTTGTATTTTTAGTAATATTACGCTTATAATCCATTGAAAATTTTAAAATAAAAACAAAGAATAATTTAAAAAGCTTGAACTCTATTCAGAAATAATAGTGTATATTGTGTATGCTTGGGATTAAGAAACAGAATTAGAAAGGTTTACTTCTGAAATGTAAGGCGAAAGACACGAAGGAATCGACCTTAATTCGAATAATAACGTGCATACTTTTTTGAATCTACAAATATATTAGGGGTTTAATATGATAAGACAAAAACTAGTTATTGATTTTTATGTGACATGAGTCCATATTTTCTCCACAACCAAGGATAGGATTTGCAATAGTAATTTGGATGAAATAGATTATATCTTGATAAATGTATTTCCACAATAGCAGGGTTGAAAATGTGCTCTCAAAAAAATGTCACTGGATATAGTCTATTTGTATTTACTAAGCCACACTTTGGCCCATTGGCCAAGTCTGCATAATACTGTATAGTTCCGAAAATAAGCACCACCCCCTCTTATACATGTGTGCCTAAATTGCTCATCTTAATAAAAAAGTAATTACATACGGCATTTAGGCAGCCAAAATTAATCTTATATAGTGCCGAAATTAATTTAAACTGTTTTCATCAAAATATATCATATAGTATAATTATTTCGGAGGGTTTCATATAAAAATTTAGCAATGCCAAAATGTTTGCCGAAAATACATTTTTCCTCTACCCTGTTTTTTTAAATCTCAGATTATCGGAAATTAAAATGAGATCTTTGACCAAATTACTTCGCTAATTTGAGACTCAAAAAATTGGGGTAGGGAGGTGGTGCTTATTTACGGTATTTACCGTATAGTTCCCGAAATTAAGCACCACCAACATTTGGTATCATCTCCAAAAATAAGCAACCCCCGCGTTTTATATTAGATTTGTCTCTCTGAATTCGCATTAATAGGTTTTAATATATTTGATGTTTTAAAATTGTTCGTTGAATTGCCATAAAG